AGGCCAATGTGCATTAACAAAAACTGTAGAGCTACGTGAGCATAACAACTTTGCTTAAAGGACCAACATCAAACTCTCACTGGTTTGAAAGATTTTGAGTTTTGAAAACATATACATGGAAACTGAAAACTGAATTCAAATTCAGGGTTACAAAATAGAATTGATTAACTACTTTGAGCAATTAATTAGTGGCTAAACATTGATCAAACAATCCCACCAATAGCTCAATATCAAAGTACAAACATCATACCAATTCATAGAAGCAAAGTTGCACAATTTTTATTCATAAAAATTCATTTAATAAAATCCCAAACTTTGAACTTTAATGGCCTTGTTCAGCTTACTGAATTTTAGGTGAAACTGGCTGAAAAACACTGTTCTGGCTGAATTGTTGTGAAAGAAAAATACTGTTCCTGCTGAAAAAAGAAACTGAAAAGCCGGATATGGGGTAAGCTGAACGGGGCCTATATTGTTTTCAGGGACTCAACCAAAATGCTAAATATGGGAATCAGTTTTGAATTCAATTTTTTTGAAGCTCAAATTTAACATGTTTGACTTGGAAACACAAACAAACTTTGACTCTATATTAAAGAACATACCTTGTACTCTAAAGTTTATTTTAATAAAATTTTATTTGTTTAAGAAAATTTCATTCCATAAAATCACAAAGATCCTTAATCAAACATTATCACTAACATTTTATGGCCTCACAAAACCAAACATATGTAACACACATTTATTTGTTTAAGAATTTTTCATTCCATAAAATCACAAAGATCCTTAATCAAACATTATCGCTAACATTTCATGGCCTCACAAAACCAAACATATGTAACACACACACACACACACACACACACACACACACATATATATATATATATATATACTATAATTGAAACATGAAATGCATAAACATGACACAAGCTTGATGATTAACATGATCAAGGTTTCGTTAACTCAAATGCAAGGGCATGATTAACAATATTCATGCACATTTTGAAAAGATTACAAGTCAACCAAAAGAAGTTTGCTTCTGCCTTTCAAAAGAATTTTAAGTTAGGTCTCAAATGAAAAAGTTTGACACCACCTCTGTCACCACTTGCCAGGTGTCAAATTAAAGCTCATAATCCTCCTCTGACTTGCTTGAATTAGACTTAATCCACTGCTTAACTTAAAACTGACACCTAGGGTGTCACAATCACCCCCACACACGCCGACGACAGGCCCCACCAGTGCGACCACCAGCTGCGGCATGCCCTCCTCCGTGGGAACCAGTGTTGGAGGCCCTCCGCGGGCGCCCTCCCCGTCATTGCTGGCGACGACGCCGGGCCCCAACGACATGGCAACCAGCAGCAACACTGTCAAGCCCGCCACCGCGGGATCTAGTGCTAATGCACCTCTGTAGATTCCCTCCTCCTCGTTCTCGCCCGATGCGCACGAAGAGTTGCCGATGGGGGATGACGACAGCGAGGAGCCCGATGACGACCAACCCACTACCTACCTCGACACTGTTCTACGTCAGGTGAAGCTGTCCTTGCCGCGCGCCCAACCTCGTCTAGCAATGGTTGGGGGCTGAGGCGGTGTGGACGCTGGTCGGTAGGGACGTGGGTGAAGGCCGAGGAGACACAGCCGGCCACGCCCCCACCTGGTGTACGGCCTGCCTGCTCGGCCTGTGGATGGCCACGTCCTCGTCTACCAACGCCTTGGACATCACATACGGGTCTCTGCCCCCCACGCTGATGGGTGGCATGAGATTCTCCAACGGTAGGAGACACGGCCTGCAACCGCCTCGATCGAGAAGCAGCTTTCGCAGGTCCAAAAGATTTTGGCAGATCTACACGGCTTATGTTTCAAGTGCCTTTCCTACTCACTCCAGGTAGCCACGGTGTTGTCTGCGCTGTCACGGCTGCCGTCACCTCGCTAGAGACTGCAAGTGGCCCAGGCGTGCCGCGGTGACGGCGTCGAAGGCACGAAGTGGCGGCTCACGGCCGTCCCTGCACACGCCACTTGGTAGCTCGGATGGAGCTACGTAGATGGCTGTGGGGGGCACCAACGGCCTCCGTCAATGACGCCGGTGGCACCAGAGCAAGCTACCGAGGGATATCAACATTGTCGCGACTGACAACGTCGCTACTTCTACTGTCGCACACGGCTCCCACGAGTCTGATCCACTCGCGGTGGCGCTGTGCGAGGGCGTTGGGCCTCCTATTTGGGTCGACCTGATGCTCGATGAGCTCGCTGCCTCTCTTGTCGTGAGTCGATCTGCGGGTGCTCCAGCGTTGGGGCATCCACCAACTCCGACTGTGGCCTCTCTAGAGGCTCAGTCATCGTTGGCAGACACTCGTTCGTCACCACGGATGGTTCACCTTAGCTTCGCAGATGCTGAGGCACCGGGGTGGATGACGACGATCGGCTAGTTTCTCATTCGGCCCTCGCTAGGGAGTTTGTTAGGTGCGTCTCCGCCCCGCTGAAGACTCCCATCCTCAAGGCGCCACCCCGGCGTTGAACCCGTCGCTCTCCATCGTTGGTCACCATCCGCCATAGCACGCATCTGACGGCAAAAGTGTGCCTCTCGGGCCCCTAACGCCACCCTCCAAGCACAGAAGGTGCTTTGTCTCCAAGTGGGAACCCTCCGCCTCACAGCCGTCAGATTCTCGGGTAGTGGCGGACTTCCAGCAGACATTTCAGGGCCCGCTCGACTACGCAAAGAGGGCCGCACTTCGAGCGCTTATGAAGTTCGACGTGGCGGGGTTCGAGTGTATGTTCGAGGAGGCTTGCTAGTCTCGTTGGCACCTGCCCAATTGGTTGCACAGCTTTCATGTAATGTAATTTAAGTTAGGTTTACTTGGGTCATGTTGGCTTCCATCCTTCCACGATAATCTATGGATTACTTCGGGATGTTGTAACCAGTCAAACTCTGCTTCTGCTTAATGAAATATGTGTCGCAAGGACACGCTCACGAAAAAAAAGACTGTTGACAATGCCGGTATAACTATACTATTATAAAAATTTTCATTATATTCCCTTGAGAACAAGATCTCCTAAATATTGGTGTGTGTGTGGGTGGGTTGGCCGGAGGAGTAAGGGGGAGTAGGTGCACCTGTCACTCTTCAATTCAGTCAGTGGCATGTTACCTAACTACTAGAGTGTACTTATATACTCCGTCCCTTTTAAATTTTAAGTCGTTAAAGCGTATTACTTTTGCTCTGCACGTATATATTATTATCTCTAGATGTATAGTAAAATTAATGTATCTAGAAACTCAAAATACCTTATAATTTTGAACAGAGGGAGTATATGTGTGCGCTAGTAAGCATTACTATACTCCTACCTATTAGTGATGGTTCAATAAGGTGTATAATAATCAGTCGTGCTAGAGATAAGCTATGTTTATATATCGCTAATGCTCACGCTCGGGCGTCCGTCTGTCCGAACCCAAAAAAAAATCAAATCTCCCCGTGTCGCGTCAAACCCGAAAAAAAAATCTTCCCATGCCGCAAACGGCTCCCAACTCCGCGCTCGTCTGTCATCGTGCAGCTGTCCACCCGCCCCGCTCCGCTGTGCCTCTGCCGCCATCCCTCGCTGTGCGTCCATCCCGCGGCATGGCCCACTCTGGCGCACCGTCGTCGCCATCCCCTGCGGTGCCCCGATCCCCCACGATGCCTCTGTCCCCCGCCACGCCAATGCTTGCTCGTCCTTCCGCCGCGCCCAGGCCAGGCGGCCAGGAGAGGGGGGACGTCGCTGGCCGAACCCAGGCCAGGCGTAGGCGTAGCTAGCCGCTGCCAGGTCGTGCCACCATCCTCGGCCGCTAGCTCACCGGAACCCGTTCCCCTGCTCTGCGCTGTGTCGTACGGAAGAAGGGCGAAAAACACATGTTGCAAGCCTTAAGTTTCAAGTGTTTCAGATATGTTAGATGTATGTTGCAAGTGTTTTAGATGGATGTTGCAAAAGTAGATCGGGATGTTGCATATGTTGCAATGGTTGTACACGTATGTTGCAAGCTTCTGTCCCTAATGTTTCATCTATTTTTCCAGACGTACGTTGCAAGTATTTTATTTGGATATTACATATTCACACCTATGTTGCAAGTGTTTTATCAGGATGTTGCATATATTTTGCGATGGCGTCTCAAGTGTTTTTAGGTATTTTTGCAAATGTTTTAGACGCATGTTTCAAGTGTTTCATCTGTCTTCATACGCATGTTGTAAATGTTTTATCTGGATGTTTCAAAAGTAAATCGAATGTTGTACTGTCATAGCCACCTTATGTAGCTGCTGGGTGTCGTGCGTGCGTGTGGAAAGCGGATGAAGCCTTGCGCGGCTACATGAGCAGGAAGCGGAGGGGAAGCACGGGGAACGCCGCGGGCGGTGCCCACCTAGTATGAGCGTGCATGAGTTGTGAGCGTCCGTCCAAATGTCGGAGCGCTGCTACTTCCTTTATATATCGATCGAGAGAGAGCACCACGTAGTTTTTTTGTTACTGTGCTGCAGGTTCGGGTTCGCTGGCTCTGAATTTTCAAAGAGTAAGCTGGCCCACCCCACGGGCCACGCCACACTCACCTCGATCGACGGACGTGGAGGGTCCACCAGCTCACCTCCGTCCGCCCTCCGATCCGATGATAAAAAGGCGCCAAGGCAGGGCACCTGCCTGGAAAATCTGGCCAATTAAACTTTGCCTTTGTTGGTTGAAATGCTGGCCAGCACGGAGGATAGGTTCATCAGCTGTGACGTGTGCAGGCAGGGTCCAGCAGCCCCATGCGCCGCCTCCGATCCAGCACATGCCTGGAAACTCCGGCGAGCCCAGCTCACACAGCCACAGCCACAGCCGTCAGCCCCCACCGGGCACCGGCCACCGCCGATGATGAATGAAATGTATAAAGTCATTGAAAGTGGGGACTTGCATTGGGAGCTGACCATTCTCAATCTCAGCCTCACATCACATACAGTTAGTTGCACCGTACATTGTACTCCCTCCGCCGTACCTCTTCCTCGTCAACCATGGCCGCCGGGCCACTGCCACCGGAGGACCTGGACCTGGACTTTCTCCTCCATCCCGACCCACCCTCCCCCTCCGTCTTCCTCGACCTCCCGCCGCCCAGCTATTTGGACGACGAGGACATGGTGCTCCCCTACATCTCGCGCTTCCTCATGGAGGAGGAGGACGCCCACGCTGAGAGTTTCTTCTACCAGTACCCCGACCACCCCGCGCTGCTCCACGCAAGGCAGCCATTCGCCGACATCCTAGCCGACGCTGCTGCTGCCTCCTCTAGCAGCGGCGCCACCGATACCTCGCCATCATCCGTCTGCTCCGTCGACACCACTGATGGTCAGGGACAGGGGCAGCGGCAGGGGCAGGGGCAGGGCAGGGAACCTCTGACTCTGACCACTCGCCCAACACCAACGGGAGGGATGCAAATGCAGACATGGTCACCTCTGCTTTCCTCAAGGGCATGGAGGAAGCCACCAAGTTCTTGCCATCAATATTGCCAACCAACACCACCACTCTCCTCCTCCACGACGCCAGGGGCCGCAAGAACAGGCACGCTGCTGCCAGGGACGACGACGGCGACCCAGAGTCGCGCAGGGCCACCAAGCTCATGCTGCCGGCCGAGATGACAGACGAAGCCGACGCCCGCCGGATGTTCGACGAACTGATGATTCACGAGCGCGACGACACCAGCATGAAGGGCGTGCAGCAGCAGGGTCTGCTGGCCGCCTCCACGGACGACACTGACAGCACCCAGAAGCGCACGCGGCGGAGGAGGCGCCGGACCTCGGCTGCCGGCGACGGACCAGTGGACCTGCACGCGCTGCTGCTCCGGTGCGCACAGGCCGTGGCCACGGACGACCGCGCGGCCGCGCAGGACCTCCTGGCGCACATCCGGCGCCACTCCTCACCAACTGGCGACGCTGCTCAGAGGCTGGCGCACTGCTTCGCTGAGGCCCTGGAGGCGCGCCTGGCCGGCACGAGCAGCCGCCTCTACCGCTCCCTCATGCTCCGCCGCACCTCCGTCGCTGACTTCCTCAGGGCCTACCGCCTCTACATGGCCGCCTGCTGCTGCAAGAAGGTGGCGTTCACCTTCTCCAACAAGACCATCCACGACGCCGTCGCGGTGGCCAGCGGCACCAGGCGCCGACTGCACATCGTCGACTACGACCTCGGCTACGGGTTCCGGTGGCCCGTGTTATGAACGACGTACAGGAATATGAAGTAAAGAATCAAGCCACAGAGGAGACACACGATTTAACGTGGAAAACCCTTCCGATGTGAAGGGGAAAAACCACGGACACCAGCCAGCAACAATCTCACTATCTCAAGAGTTTTGGGTTACACGCCTATGGCGGCTTACAAGAGAATCAAGTCTCCACGAAACCCTAGCAAGGGCGTATATACCGTACCGTACCACGTATATACCGTACCGTACCGCGGGGGGCTCCGGCCCAAGCCTTCGCTCCGCTCCGTTAGAAGCCCAGCCTATATCCTGGAGTGAATTTGGAACAACTCCAACAGCCCCGACTACTGTGCGGACTCGCGGCGAGGGAGGGCGGTCCGCCGGAGCTGGTTAGGATCACCGGCATTGACCTGCCGCAGCCTGGCTTCAGCCCGGCGCACCAGATCAAGGACACCGCCGCGCGTCCCGTTCGAGTTCCGAGGGATCGCGGCGAAGAGAGAGGACGTGTCTCCCGAGGACCTGGACATCGACCCAGCTGCCGAGGTGCTCGTTGTGATCAGCCTCTGCCATTCCAGGCTGCTGACGGACGAGATCGAGATCAGCGTCGCCGCCGCCACGCCTTGCCGTCCCAGACCCAGCCCCAGGGACCAGGTGCTCGGCAACATCCGTCGGATGCGGCCCGACGTGTTCATCCACGGCGTCGTCAGTGGCGGCTACGGCACGACCTACTTCCCGACGCGGTTCAGGGAGGCGCTGTTCTACTACTCGGCGCAGTTCGACCTGCTGGACGCCACCGTGCCACGAGACAGCCCGGAGAGGCTGCTGGTGGAGAGGGACATCTTCGGCCGCGCCGCCATGAACGTCGTCGCGTGCGAGGGCACGGATCGGGTGGAGCGCCCTCAGACGTACCGGCAGTGGCAGGCAAAGAACCGGCGGGCGGGGCTCAGGCAGCTGCCGCTGCAGGCTGACGTCGTGAAGGTGGTGATGGACAAGGTGAAGGACAACTACCACAGGGACTTCGTCGTCGACGAGGATCAGGGGTGGCTGGTGCACAGGTGGAAGGGCCGTGTTCTCTATGGCCTCTCCACATGGGTTGCATACTGATCGATGATGCATCAGCTTCTCTTGCATGGTTCTCAGCCTAGATATTTGCTGCTCATGTATCTGGTCATCTGGAAGATGGTTAGGCCTAGGAGTGAATTTCTCTGGCTACCTAGAAGTATCTAGAGATGCAGCAGGAGTGTCTTGCCATGTAAAATCAGTATAGTAAAAACTAAGTGATCTATCAATCATTTTTTTTTTGCCTCTTATGAGTTTCTCAGGTTCAGTTGTGGCTTTCGAACTTTTCAAATTTGTGGCATCAATTGTTGGCACGTGCATTATCGTATTTGTAGATAGAGTAAACTTATGTGTGATTAATCCGTCTTTTTCAGCTTATTTTTCAGCTAGAACAATATTTTTCTCTCACAATAAATCAGCCGAACAATATTTCGGCTTGTTTTTTCAGCGAAGCGAACGGAGCGTAAGATAATTTGCTTTCAGCGGCTGCCCACCAAACCCTAGCCCCGCCCAGGCGCCGTCGCCCGCCTCCCTCTCCCCTCCCCGCTCCCCATCCACAGCTCGCACCATGCTCGTCGCCCGGCGCCGCGCCGCCCCGTCCCCGGCGGCCTCCCCCCTCCCCCCTCCCCCTTCCGTCCAACCCCTTCCTCCACCCCCGGCCTTCACCAGATGCATGTGGAAGTTACCCTTGGCGGGCCTGTCGCGTCCTCACCGTCCGAGCGGACGCCGGCCATGATGGCCGCCCCCTCCCGACACCACCTTCGCCGGCTGAACCGCCGTTCTGCGGAGCAACGCCGCTGTCGGAACCAGCAACAGCCATGGCGGCGGCGTCCTGCTGCTCCATAGGCCCAGATCCACTCGACGTCTTCCTGTTTCGCCCTGATCTGGTTGGGGAAGGCGACCCCTGCCTGGAGGTCAGCCCGGCGGCTGTCGTGCCGCCGCTGCAGACACCAAGCACACGGGAGCCGGAAGCTAGGGGCGGCTAGGCTCATGTTCGGGCCTTCGGGGGCCGCTGGCCTCCCCAAGCTCCTCCTCCCTCTTTTCGTTCGCGACATCGTTCTACCTAGAGTGCTCGTGGGGAGGACGCTCGAAGAGTCGTCGGTGGGTGGACGATGACGATGAGGAGTCCGACGATGACCAACCCACAACTTACCTAGGGGCTGCTCGTCGCCCGACAAAGCCAATCACCGCGTCCCCTTTGCGTGCCCAGACTCGTTCAGTCGTGGTTTTGGGGCGCGGCGGCACGGACGCTGGACGACAGGTACCTGCGCGAAGACGGAGGAAGCACAGCCGCCCACCGCCCTGTCTGCTCGACCAGTGGATGGCCGCATCCCTGCTTGCCAATGCCTCGTTCGCCATGGATGGGTCTCCGCCCCTGACGCTAATGGGTGGCAGGAGATCCTCCCCGGACTAGAGACGCGACCCACGGCCGCTTTGGTTGAGCATCGTCCAAAACAGCTCCCGCAGGCCCGGAGGATCCCCGCAGAACTTTGTAACAGATGTTTCAACTATCTGTCCTACTCACACCGAGTAGCGACGTGCCGGTTGCCACGGTGTTGCCTTCGTTGCCACGGCCTTCGCCATATCGCCAGGGAATGCAAGCGGCGGCCCAAGTCTGCTGCGACGATAGTGGTGAGAAGTGCTGACCTGCCACGACACCCAGCTTGCGCCAACAAACCACCGGCCTCTCAGCACATGCACCGCTGCGGTCCATCGAGCTTGAACGGGGCCATGCAGGGAGCTACAGGGGAGCCGGCTGAATCTGTCAAAGACACCGGCGGCGACGGAGGAAACCGGCAAGGGACGCCAAGGTCGACAACGCTGCTCCCTCTACTGCTGCACACTGCTTCCCTTAGCCAGACCCACTGGTGTTTGACGCCTCCCATGTGGATCGACCCAATGCTAGAGGAGTTTGACGCTTCATCACTCGGCCAGCAGGACCACCAGCACTGGGATCCTGCCTACTCCGGAGGCCGCGTCTCAGGATGTTGGAGCATCAACGGAGGCTTGCCACAAAACGACGGACTCGTCTCTGTTGTCGCCGGTACAGGGGTAGCCACAAGTCACGCCACCACGGGTGGGACAGCCCGGCGTCAAGATCACGGTGGGCACGCCCAACCCCAGCGATGTGATGCCCACGCCAAGTCAGGCTGCTCAGCGTCTCGCATGGTTCACCGAGGAGGTGCAGCACAAGCGAAAGTCGTCATTAATCGTCAGTCCACCAAGGTAGAAGGTGGCAACCACGAAGCGCCCCTGCCAATTAGGAGCAGACGGATTGCCGCGCAACCGCTGGCGCACATACCGACTGCCAAGAGGGGCGAGGTGCTACTCTTGAAGAAGATGGACATCGTGCCGCCGACAGCACCAGTTTCATCAGTGTCCAAGGGAGCATACGACGCTGTATTCGTAGGTAACTTGACATCGAGCCAAGTTGCAGCCTTCGACGAACTGTTTCCAGCGACCAACAACATGGCTGGTAATAAAAAAACGTGCTCTTCTCGGATACCGGAGTTGGATCGCGTAGCGAGCAGCGGAGGCGCCCAGCCTCGTAGGTTGGAGCACTGCTCTTAGCTCGGTTGTAGACCTTTTATGTAATATCGAAGTTTGAAATTGTATACTATGACGGTCCAATCTACGGCTGTAAGACCTAGGGCGCTCATCAGAAGCGCGTCGTTTGTATGGTAATATGGTTCAACTCTTCTTCTTAATTACAATGATACACAAATCTTTTTGCGTATTCAAGAAAAAAATATGTGATTAAGATGAAATAAACTTTTCCAGCTTGTCCGGGGTGAAAGAGGGCAACATTCGTCCTTCCGATTTGGTTTTTAACGGTAGCGCGGTACTATTTTTGTGTCAAAGTTTCTCATTGGCTTTTACTTTGATAGACGCTAGGCAGGCAGAAAGGTTTGGAACTTAGCGATTTTGCATAAATCAGTTTATTTTTATTTCCCATGTTCTAAATTAAAGGGGACCTAAATGTTTCTATTTTCATTTAATTCTTGCATTCAGGTATGTGGGTGCAATTAAGTTATTTTTCACAACTTGAAGATGGAAGATCTCCTCAAAATTTTCAACAACTTCAGACTTGCTCATGACATGATGACGATTTTTCAAAGTTATGTGCATTGTGTACTGGCAACTAAAGTTTGCAATGGTCCCAAAGTTCATGATCGTGTAACTGAAGAAATGTTTCGCTCCTCTTATTGAAATAGGGCGTGTTCTCACAAAAAAAAAAAGAAGGAAATGTTTCCTGCGATTATGTGATGATACGAAGTTGGGAGAGGAGCACAAGCAGAAACAAAACTCAAAGATTTGAATCAGGTAATATTAATTTTCTAGTAATGACACTTGGACATCTTTTTGAATTAAACTTAGACATTACCTTAGTCTAAACATGGTCACTAACTTAAATTGATGAGGAATTAGCTAATTAGGTGCTGACCAGAGCCGGTAGGTGTCACCTATGCCTCTACAGACTACAGATATACTAGCTAGGGTCGATATAGATGAAGTAGATGTGCTAATCTTCACTGATTTTAGAGTTAGGACTTTCTCTTATCTAGATGTAGATTCATATGTGTGGTCTCTTGGAATATGGGGCCGAGCTTCCAACCCCTTGCAACGTCCAATAGACCGGTTAGATTGGTTTACATGTCGAGAGCTTTTTTCTTTGTCTGCATCATGCTTAGAAACAATTATAATAACAGAAAGCAGGCTGAATGCTGAGGTGGAGCAGAAAGGAGAGGAGAGAGAGGCGAAGCGGGCTATAAGCTTACAGTCGGCTTAGGCACATATATCAAGAACTTTGTGAGAGAGACAAGTGTGTCATATATGAATAGTGAAGATCTAACTACTGTACGAATGGGCTGAGAGATGGGCTATAAAGATCCTTATGAAGCGATCATGCATTTATCATCAATATACAATTTCAGAAACAGTATCTTTCTACGAAACAGATCATCAGGGGGCGGGGGGGTTTATCAAAATACAAGAAGATGATGACCTTGTGAAGATGTTGTTTGCATTCTGAAACGAACAACAAAGTTTGGTTGAAAAAAGTAAATGGAACAAGAAGATTTTGTGCATAAAAGGGTACAAGAAGTGTGTTTGCATTTGAAACGAACAACAAAGTTAAATGAACAACAAAGTTTGGTTCAGAAACCGACAGAAATGGAACAAGAAGATTTTGCAGACAAAAGGGTACAAGAAGATGCTGTTGCTGCATTACGAAACGAACAACAAAGTTTGGTTCAGAAACCGACAGAAATGAAACAAGAAGATCAGTAGCCTACATGACAGCAACAAGACACCATAGGCCACGTTTAGTTCATCCAAATTCTAGAATTTGTCACTATGCAAAAAGAAGATTCCCCGTCACATCAAACTTACGGTACATGTATGGAGTACTAAATGTTGACGAAATCAAAAATTAATTGCACAGTTTAGTTGTACTTTGCGAGACGAACATTTTGAACATAATTAGTCAATGATTAGACAATTATTACCAAATAAAAAGAAAACGCTACCGTGCGCAACAGTGCCGCGAATTTGGGCGGCGCCAAATCTGGGGCCGAACTAAACGCGGCCATAATTGGCTACTGAATCATCGATTCGAGCTCCACGAGGAGGTGATGAGGTCAATCGCTCGTCATTCCATCCAATTCCACCCACCACCACCACCTGCTTCTGCTTCTTTTTAAGCAATCCGCCCGCCATTGCAGGTAGCTTGTAGGCAGGCAGCGCATGCGCATGACAGCACCCCGTGTCTTCCCAGGCTTCACGCCGGCGTCCCGCGTCGACGCCGACGCGGCCTCCTCCTCCTCTTCCTACCTCTCCCGCATTTCTCTTCTCATGGAGGAGGAAGAGGAGGACGACCTCGCCGACCACCCCGCGCTCCTCCATGCCCAGCAGCCCTTCGCCCAGATCCTCTCCGGCGGCCCCTTATTGCCGGACCAAGGCCCCGTCTTTCCAGGCGGCTCGCCCGAAGACAAGGAGTACGGAACGGACATGTTCACAGCTGCATTCTTCAAGGGCGTGGAGGAGGCCAGCAAGTTCCTGCCAGCCTACACCGCTGCCACGCTGCTGAGCAACGACACAAGCGGCGGCGGCAGCAAGGGCCGCAGGGACAGGCACACCGTCGGTGGCGACGACGAGCTGGAGGCCGATGCCAGCAGGACCAGCAAGCTGGCGATGGCAGAGTCGGAGGAGGCCGGCGCCCGCGAGATGTTCGACGAAATGATGCTGAGGGGATTCGATGCCTGTTCCAAGGAGATGGAGGGCCTGGCCATTTCCGTTGAGAATGTGCCCGCGAAGGACGATGGCAAGAAGAAGGCGAGGAAGAGGAGCAGGGTACGGGGCAAGCGCCGGCCGGCCAGGGTGGTTGACGTGCACACCTTGCTCATCCACTGCGCCAAGGCGGTTATCGACGACCGCCGGAGCGCAGACGAGCTGCTCAGTCAGATCAAGGAGCACGCCTCGCCTACCGGGGACGCCACGCAGCGGCTTGCCTACTGTTTCGCGCAGGGGCTGGAGGCACGGCTGGCTGGCACCGGGAGCCAGGTGTACAGGTCACTCACCACGAACCGGACCTCGCTCGTGGAGTTCCTCAAGGCCTATCAGCTCTTCATGTCAACCTGCTGCTTCAGGAAGGTGGCATTCATGTTTGCCAACAAGACCATCTTCGACGCCGCAGTTGGCAGGAGCAAGCTGCACATCGTGGATTATGGCCTCCATTCCGGCTTCCAGTGGCCGGAGCTGCTGCGCTTGCTGGGGACTAGGGACGGTGGGCCACCGCAGGTCAGGGTCACCAGCATTGACCTCCCACAGCCTGGATTCCACCCAGCAAACCACATGGCAGAGATGGGTTATCGCCTTACCAACTGTGCCCGTGAACTCTGTGTGCCACTGAGTTTCCGTTCTGTGGTGGCGCCATGGCACACCGTTTGCATCGATGATCTGAATGTGGAACCTGACGAGGTCCTCGTCGTCAACGATCTGTTCAATTTCAGGACCCTGATGGACGAGAGCATCATATCAGACAGCCCCAGCCCTAGGGATGTTGTCCTCAGCAACATCAGAAAGATGAAGCCTGATATCTTCATCCAAGCCGTCGTCAATGGTTTTTACGGCACCACCTTCTTGTCACGGTTTCGGGAAGCCCTCTTTTACCACTCTGCGCTGTTTGACATGCTTGATGCGACCATGCCCCGGGAGAGCCAACTGCGCTTGGTGCTTGAGCGGGATATCTTTGGCTGGGTTGCCTTGAATGCCATAGCATGTGAGGGAGAGGACCGTGTGGAACGTGGTGAAACATATAAGCAGTGGCAGGTCAGAAACCAGCGGGCTGGCCTAAGGCAACTGCCCTTGAATGGAGAGACTGTTAAGATGGTGAGGGACATGGTCAAGAACCAATACCACAAGGATTTTGTCATTGAGGAGGGTCAGCAATGGTTGTTGCAGGGGTGGAAGGGCCGCATCCTCTTTGCCCACTCAATGTGGGCGGCAGATGGTGCTAGCTCCGATTGTTAGTTTTACACAATGAAACAATACAGATATATTGATATTAATGCCAGATATAATTATGGCTAGTGTTATGATGTGGTGATGTATATATATGATCCAGTGGATTTGACTTGGTGACATGTTTCTGTATGACTTCAGGTAGGCAGCAACTGCATTTACTCTCATTGTGACATCTTTCCTGTGGTCTGATTCATTTGTACATGCAGGTGAGGAAGAAAGTAGTGAGGCCACTGAGGTCAATAATCAGGGTGTTCGGCTGATACACTTTTTGGCTTATTTTAGCTGATTTCGGCTGATTCAATAGTGTTCTGTGAGAGAGAATAAACTGAAACAAGCTGAAACAAGTTGAAACAAGCTGAAACAAATTGAGACTAGTGAAAAATAAATGAACAGAAGACTAGTGAAAAATACATGAGGCCACTGAGGCCTCATTTATATTTATATTGGACACATGATGACAATGTTATTGTAACTATCGGCTCAGGCCAAGGAAGTAAGTACAATAATCACTAGGCTTGTTGCTACTGAATGTCGTTGCCTGATAAGTATCTGCTTAAATGACATGCTTTGTTAAACAATCTTTTGTGGGTCAATCAGGTTCCAGGTACATGATTGTGGATGATGGGCTAATGTTTCATTTGTAGAGTTAGATCTGCTTGCACTTATCTGCCTCTAGAGTAATTTTTTTTCTCGAAAAAGCCTCTAGAGTAATTATCTGCCATGTAAAGTAGCGAATTTGCTTTGCATATCTTTCATTCTTGTACCTATGCTGATGGTTTCTTTTTGGCCCATGAGTCCTGAAACTATTCTGATTATGAATAAAGTAGATCCCAGTTAAACCTTTGTCCGTTTGGGTGATGCTTATTACTTGCATCTATTTATTCCTCCATGTTTGAGGTCATAGATTTACAGTCTGGAGTATTATGCCTGTCTACGTGCATATAAAGGAAATCAGCCTGGATAAGGTGCACTCGTATAGATTGTACTCTATACTGTTTGCAAAATAATCCACACGGCCAGACCACAGAATTGCAATCTTATGTTTGAGAGCTGGAGCCATAACTTTTAAATTTTCTTGTACTTCAAGTTATTATATTAAAATTTTCAGAGAAATATTTCTTAGGACATTACATATCATTCACAACAATCTTCACGTTACTCCCTCTGTTCCAAAATGTAAGTAATTTTAGTTTTGTCCTAAGTCAAAGTTCTCTAACTATCCTTGGACAGGGTTACTACAAGTTCAATTCAGCACAAAAGCCTTGTTTGACATGAGCATGGCGACCATCCATTGGGGATGGCTCTGATAAAAAATTCTTGTCTGATTGGTAGCTGCATGGATAAACAATTTCAGAAGTGGCTCCTAATCTCATTGGCCTTATCCCATGGTGAGCATCAATCAAAGAACTGTTTGCGAAGCTCTTGTGTGCCGAAAATGGGTGGAAGATATCAAAGGATCTCTCTCTGTGGTCGTGATTGTTGAATATCTTCATTTATGGGATCTGTTAGAAGATTGGACCTGCAGCATGGAGTGCAAGATCAATATATTTGGAAGCTATCTGTTTCGGGTTACTACACTTACAAATCAGCATATAGGGCCTGTTTCCTTTGAACTCAGGCAGCTTTGCTTGGCTCTCTATCCACTCTGCAGTTTGACATGTTTGATGCGACCATGCCATTGGAGAGGCAACTGCACGTGGTGCTCGAGCGGGATATCTTTGGCTGGGTTGCCTTGAATGCTCTTGCCTGTGAGGGAGAGGACTGTGTGGAACGTGGTGAGACATATAAGCAGTTGTTGGTCAGAAACCGACAGGCTGGCCTAAGGCAATCTCGTGGAATGAGGAGCATGTTAGAATGGTGAGGGACGTGATCAAGAACCAATACCACAAGGATTTTGTCATCGAGGATGGTCAGCAATGGCTGCTACAGTGGTGGAAGAAGGGCCGCATCCTCTTAGCCCATTCAATGTGGGTGGCAGATGGTGCTCGCTCCGACTGTTACTTTTTCACAATGAAACATGTACAGATATGGATATTAATACCAGATACAGTTATGACTGGTGTTATTATGTGGAGATGTATATACACGATCTAGTGGATTTGAATTGGTGGCATATTTCTTTTTGACTTCAGGTAGGCAGTCACTGCATCTACTCTCAATTTGACGTCTTTCCTGTTATCTGATTTATTCGTGCATGTAGGCAAGGAAGAAGATAGCTAGGCCACAGAGGTCAAAGACTCCAGTGAAAACTAAATGAACTGAAGAATGTGGTGATCTCATCCTCATGTATTTTTAAAATGGATACATGATGACAATGTATTGGAAGTTGGAACTATTGGCTCATGCCATGGAAATTAGTTACACTAGTCACTAGGTTTTGTTTTAGCCTACCCCAACTTGTTTGGGACTTAAAGGCTTTGTTGTTGTTGTTGTTATTGTAGTCACTAGGTTTTGTTGCTACTGAGTGTAGTTGCCTGATAAGTATCTGTTCAAATGACATGCTTTATTGAATCAGCTTTTGTTGGTCAATCAGGTTCAAGGTACATGTTTGTGTCAGATGAGCAAGATGTTTCATCTTGAGTCATATCTGTTTGTACTTCCATGCCTCAAGAGTAACTATGTCATGCCATATAAAGTAGCAGATTTTCTTTGCTTATCTTTCATTCTTGTGTTGATGGTTTGTATTTTGTCAGTCAGTCCTCAAACTTTTCTGATTATAAATAAAGTAGATTCCAATTAAACTTGAGTCCATTTGGGAGATGCTTATTTCTTGCATTGAATCTCTGTTTATTCCTCCATGTTTCAGGCCATATATTCGCAGTTTGAAGTATTATGCCTACCTCTACGTGCAAATAAAGGAATCAGCCTGAATAAGGTGTACTCATTTAGGCTGTATTCTATACTCTTTGCAAAATAAACCACACCATTGAAAATGCAATCTTATGGTTGAGAACCAGAGCCATAACTTTTTGTCCAATAGTATAATGTTTTTCTTGTGTATATCAAGTTACTTTATTAAATTCTCACAGAAATAGTTCTTAGGATATTTATTTATCTTATACATCCATCTCATATTTCGTCCACCTAAACACTTCATGTTAGTCTGTAAAATATATGTAAATACGTTTTGCATTGCACAACTGAGACTTCTTGCTTGTCTAGTTTTAAAGGTAAAAGAAATAAAATGCTATATATGTTTGCTCCTTGCAATATCGGGATAACATCTTGGTTGTCCAAATAGCATTGGAATTGTGGCTAGTTACTGTCTTGATTGTCCAAGTGGCATTGGAATCATCAAACTTATCCTCCTGACCATAGTTTCTTGGCATTATCTGGCACTACCATACACATTGACATGGTCTGCTCTCCACATAATATGTACCAGAAGCTACCATGCCACACCTCCACTGATCACCATGGCCACCACCCCAGAGGAATTCTTTGCTGCGGGTCTCATGGAGATGAAGCCTTCATCACCTTCCCCATCTATCAACCTTCCCCTGATGCCTGATGGTGGCGGTCAAGGCCCACTCTCAGATGATGATCTTGTGCTCTCCTACATCTCAGGCTTGCTCATGGAGGAAGACATTGATGACAAGCTGTTGGGCCAATACTCTGATCACCCTGCACTACTCCAGGCACAGCAGCCCTTTGCTCAATTGCTCTCCTCCCCTTCCTTCAATGCAAACATTGATAATACTTTCAACAGCGGCAACATGGAGGGAGCTAAGAATTCATTGCAGGGTTGCAGTGGTGATCAATACACACTCAGCGCATCCTTCTCGAAAGGTGTGGACGAGGAGGGGCAGTTCTCAAAGGGATTGGAAGAGGCTCATAGGTTCTTGCCTGGAGACAATAGCTTTGGAAAGGGTGAGCAGGTGATTCAAATCTTCAAGGAAACTAGCAACCCTAGAGGGCTCAAAAAGAGGTATGACCGAGATGAGCATATGAAAGAGGAGGCAGGCAGGACCAGGAAACCTATGATAATAAGGGAGGAGCTAGAAGAGATTGGCATCCGTGAGATGTTTGATGAAATGATGCTGCATGATGATGAGCTATGCATCAGGGACAAGGAGAAGCTGCGCATCGCTATGACCAATGAGAAGAAAAACAAAACTAAGGGCAGGAGCAAGGCTGCAACAGATGTAGTGGACCTACGTACATTGTTGTTCCATTGTGCGCAGGCGGTAGCTATGAACGATCACACGGTCGCGGTTGAACTGCTCAAGCAGATTAAGCAGCATGCTTCAGCAACAGGGGATGCCACACAGAGGCTAGCTCAATGTTTTGCCAAGGGGCTGGAAGCACGGCTAGCAGGCACGGGAATGCAGCTCTGGAAGTCGCTCATGGCAGAGCACCCCATAGTCAAGGATTTCCTCAATGTCGGGTTCATAAAACTGGGGTCCCTCGGGGACTGGCTTCTGCGCCAAGGCTCGGCCCAAGAGTCTAAAAACAACAGGCCGGAAGGATGGCCCAGTCGCCGACCAGAAGGTCTGGGCCAAAAGGAGCAGTGCCCGCTCATCGACCCCTTCGGCCCACCTCTCCGATCAGAGCACTCGCTTCGGCCTCCAGCCGTCTCCGGACGCCCTCTCCGATCGGAAGGCCTGGCCCAAAGTGCTACTTCCGACTCCGACCCCGCGTCCCTCCGACCGGGGCTCGTAGGGACCCTGTACACCGCTCTTCTCCGACTGGCTCGACCAGAGCCGACTAGAGCTTTCCGACCGGGACGCCGGCTCAGAAAGGACCGGGAGACGAACGGAGAGCGCAAGCCAGGGCGCACAAGTCAAACCACGACCATGCCCTGTACGCCTGCAGGAACAGTACTCTGCAACCGCCCTGGCACAAACAGTATTGTAGGCGCCGACATTTCCCTCTAGAGTATTGTAGGCGTCGACAAAACCCATACGGTAAGGCCCCCACGTGCCTCTGGGCATCGATAGTGTTGTGGGCGCCGGGATTTACTATACCGGGCGAACGTGGTGAGACTCCTTACATGCCTCCAGACATCGAACAGTATTTGCAGGTGCCGACATCTACCACTCCTGAAGAAAGCAACGCAACCGTCCCACATGCATCTGACATACTACAGTGACGTCAACAGTGTTGTAGGTGCCTACCATTATCTTGTGCCCGCCGGCGTGGGCAGCAAGGCTCGGTAACATACGCACCCTTTCCCTCTCACTTGTAAAACCGTCCCCTTCATCTATAAAAGGGGATGCGCTTCCTCCAACAAAGGAGACCGATTCCAGTTGATCAGAGTTCCTTAGATCGATAGCTCACAATCACAGAACCGCCAGGTTCGGACCTCAAGCACCCGCTTGAACACTTAGCTCATAGCGAAGTTCCTGTCACTCTCGGCCCTTCCGACCGGAGCTGACCGAACCTCTTGTACACCCCATCTTTCTCCTTCTCGTTTGTAACCCCACTGCAAACTTCGAGCACCTGGGCTCAGGAATAAAGTCACCGACCGACCCTGACTGGACATAGGGCACGCTGCCTGAACCAGTATAAATCCTGTGTTATTGAGTGCTAGGCCACCTCCGATCACAACGTACGGCAAAACTACAAATATTCACTAGTTGGTCACATTCTGCACCGACAGTTGGCGCCGTCCGTGGGAAAGACGCTGTACGTTCAACACTTTTTGGTCATCGGATGACCCACTTTTCCGCCACCCTCACCGTGGCAGGCTCGGGCGATATGATTCGCTTCGGCTCGCTGGAGTTTTCCGCACTCTCACCCGCTGGGATGAGGGTTCCACCTGTCTTCGAGCCATCCCAGGCCTTCCTCTTCGGAAGCCTGGACTTCGTCGCCGACCGGCTCGGCGTACTACACCTCCGCGAGGAGGCTTGCGACCCGGCACCCGTCGGAGGGACGTCCTCCATCGACTCCAGGACGCGCGACTCCGACGACGCGACATCTACGCTTCATTCCGAGCAAACTCTCTGCTCAAACCCCACTGTAAGTAATATGCGTACTATTTTTTGCTCTTTATTTACTATCTCGCACCAATCACCCGGAGGGAATATACCGTCCACGCCACAAACACCATACGATCGGTTCCCCTACGGCCTCGTGTCCTCTGCGGATGCATACGCTCGGGGGCTCCAAAGGATGCTGGCACCATCCCCCCTCACGTTCGAGTTCGTGGGAATGGCAGGCTGCATTCCTGCCGTTTCCTACGAATTCCCGGATGGTGAGGGCGAGAGCTATGGTTCCAGCATCAGTGACGTGGTACCCCGCCACCGTCCGTCCCGGGAGTGCGCTATGGCGGACTGAAAGGTCCTAATGGCTAGAGGGGGGGGGTGAATAGCCTAATAAAAATTTCTACAACAACACTTAACCAAATGGTTAGACAATTATGAGGCGAAGCGAGTGTTGCGCTAGCCTACTAAAAAATGCAAGCCACCTACCACAATTCTAGTTTAGATAGTGTCAATTCACACAAGAGCAATGACACTACCCTATGTTAGTGTGCTCTCAAAGGCTAACTAAAGAGCCACACCAACCAAGCATGCAAGCTCTCACAACTAGCTACACTAAAGAGCTTGTCAACTAGTTCGCGGTAAAGTAAAGAGAGTGATCAAGAGGGTTATACCGCCATGTAGATGAATGAACCAATCAATCACGAAGATGAATAACAATGATGACCAATCACCTCGGAATCAATGATAAACACAATGATTTTTTTCCGAGGTTCACTTGCTTGCCGGCAAGCTAGTCCTCGTTGTGGCGATTCACTCACTTGGAGGTTCACGCGCTAATTGGCTTCACACGCCAAACCCTCAATAGGGTGCCGCACAACCAACACAAGATGAGGATCACACAAGCCACGAGCAATCCACTAGAGTACCTTTTGGCGCTCTGCCGGGGAAAGGTCAAGAACCCCTCACAATCACCACGATCGGAGCCGGAGACAATCACCACCTCCGCTCGACGATCCTCGCTGCTCCAAGCCATCTAGGTGGCGGCAACCACCAAGAGTAACAAGCGAAATCCGCAGCGAAACACGATCACTAAGTGCCTCTAGATTCAATCACTCAAGCAATGCACTTGGATCACTCCCAATCTCACTATGATGATGAGTCAATGATGTAGATGAGTGGGAGTCCTTTAGCTAGGCTCACAAGGTTGCTATGTCAATGAAAATGACCAAGAGTTGTCCCTTGAGCCGGCCATGGGGCTATAAATAGAGCCCCAATCAAATAGAGCCGTTATACCCCTTCACTGGGCAAAACGCGCTCTGACCGGACACTCTAGTCATACTGACCGGACGCTGGCCCTCAGCGTCCGGTCGCCCGATGGACGCCACGCGTCACCAGCTTCAAACGCTGTTCGTCAGATTTCAACGGCTGCGAAGCTGACCGGACGCTCCGGTAAAACTGACCGGACGCTGAAGCCCCAGCGTCCGGTCGTTTCCAGTAAGCTCCCCGAGGCATGTTTTTTCGACCGGACGCGTCCGGTCCACCTTGACCGGACGCAGCCAGCGTCCGGTGCTCAACCCTAGCCACTGTGCCGTCTAACAGCTCGACCGGACGTAGCCTTTCAGCGTTCGGTCGCTGAGTGACCCAGCGTCCGGTCAGTAGACCGACGCCAGCATCATTTCGATCAACTCCATTTCAACTCTTACTTCTTCACCCTTGCTCAAGTGTGCCAACCACCAAGAATTTTGCATCCGGCGCAATAGAAAATAGACATTTCATTTTCCCGAAAGCGCCGAATCCATCTCAACCCTACAAACACCTTGTGCACATGTGGTAGCATATTTACACAAATATTATCAAGGGTGTTAGCACTCCACTAGATCCTAAATGCATATGCAATGAGTTAGAGCATCTAGTGGCACTTTGATAACCGCATTCCGATACGA